AAAAATGGAGAAACTTTGGTCGAATAATTTAACATTCGGCCAAAGTTTCTCCCATAATTAATTGAAGAAATGAAAGGGTAAGAGGCATATAGGGTCACTATATACCTCTTACCCTTTCATTTTCATTTGGAGGTCAACAAACCGGAGTTAATTGCAAACAATTAACTCCAAATTTGTTTATGTTAAGGAAGGAATTGGAGGGTAAGAGGTACATAGTATGAATATGTACCTCTTACCCTGCAATTCCTTCTAGAAAGTTCCAAAACTTTGGGTTAATGCAAACTATTAACCCAAAGTTTTGGAACTTTCAAGTGGAGATGGAAGGCTTTGGGTATACATTAATATAATATACCTCAAAGCCTTCCATCTCCACTACAAATGGGAGAAACTTTGTCCGAATAGTTTAACATTCGGACAAAGTTTCTCCCATCTTTCAATGTAATTGCTACCTGTGAGGTACTGACTTGAAGTCAGTGCTTCACAGGTAGCAATATCCAAAAATTTAAAAACATTTTATCAGTTCGTTAGAAAACTAGAGCCTCCTAGGTACTGAACCAGAATCAGTGCCTAGGGAACTCTAGTGATCTATATAAATCTGAGAAACTTTGAGGAAATTGTTCGACATTTCCTCAAAGTTTTCAGCAATTTAGCGAGAATGTTCGTTATCGTGTAGATATTTATAATATATACATGATAACAAACATTCCCCGCTAAAAGATGTAAAATCTTATAAGAAATAATTGCAAAAGAATAACAAATTGCAACAAATTTTATATGAAACTGAACCTTTGAGGGTAGTGATTCAAGATCACCGCCTCATAAGATTCAGTTTCATCCCAAGTATCTCAAAAGTAAGGCTCTATTTTTGCCATGTAAAGTGTCACTTTACTGTAAAGAGTTTTATCGTTTTTCGTTACAACATTGTGGGTCTTTGACAAATCTTATGTTACCATGCAGCTCTGCAGCTATAAAAAACGAGAATATTCTAAATATCCTATGGCTTGATCAACCTCGCATGGAGGATCGGGTGGAGGATGTTGCATTGAGCAGCAAAAAGGAAAAATAAAATTGAAAACTCACATTGAAAAAATAACGGTTTAATAGAAAATATTTTTTTTCTTCTGAAAAAGAATTATCTTTGAGTATCTAAATTGGGATAAAGGATATAGAATAGATAACTAGTACTTAATATATGATACATGTACACGAAATGGAAGAATGTGTACTAAAAGAAAGAGAAATTTAGCTTAATATTTTACATACGAATCAATTAATCTTTGGTTAAAAGGTAGAATTGTTGGCTATGATGTACTGATTCATGATCAGTACATCATAGCCAACAATTCCTTATACAAAATTCAAAAACTTGGGTGCAATCAGAACTGATTGCACCCAAGTTTTTGAACTTTCTTGAGGGAATTAAAGGGTGAGAGATTTATAGTCTATCTATATATCTCCCACCCTCTAATTCCCTCCCTGACAGCGGGAAAATAAAGCACGTTAAATTTTTTCTTTCTTGATTTTTTACAAAATCTAAAAAAAAAAGGTAGTGGGGCTTCCAGGCGCGTTGCGCCCTCTAGCCCCGAAGATGTTTAGTATAAAACCGCTTTTTAACTTCACTTAAAATGCCACGTAAGCTACGTAAGAATATACGTAAGAGGAAGAGAGCATTGAAACATCCAATAGTAAAACTGACACCACAACAACAGTTGCAACAACAAATGCTGAATGACCCCACTATGTTGGCAACTGTCAAGCAACCCTATGCTCTTAAACGACGAGTCATTGGTGCACAGAGTGGAGGTTTAAGAGCGGCACTTTTAGCGAAAATGGCAGGTTATGGTGGAGCTGCAGACGGAACAGCCTATACCCTCAAAGTCAAATGAATTTGAGTTCCAACTCAAAAATCAAATAACAGATGTCAAAAAGTCAAACATAGACATACAGAAGCAAATAAGTGAAAACGAAAAGAAACTAGAATATGACAGACACACAAAGAAACTCAATGAGTTAAACGTAGAGAAAAAGAAGAAAGAAGAACAACTGAAAGAACTAAGTACAGAGCAATATGCGAAAAAAGTGTCAGAAAAAGCAGCAGAAGTAGCAAAAATGGAACAAGATGTCATAAATTTGAAAAACCATACTACTCAATATAAATACTGAAAGATGAAGAGATAAAACAAAAAGCCCTGAAGACATATATGGATAGCGATGAGTATAAAAAGAAGTTGAAGCAAATGTAAAGGCAGAAAAACTTTTACAGTTGCAAAACCAAACCGTACAGTATGAAAACTTAGCACAAGAAAGTAAAAATAACGACGCAGCTATGCAAAAGGCAATGAAAAGCGCAGAATATATAAAAGCTAACAATGACTGGTTAGATGCCCAAGCCAACGCTAAAGCAGCCCAACTCATAGGGTCAATAAGGACAAAAATACAAGCGGATGAAGACAGTTCAAATGAAGCTTTAACAAATGCTGACTTTAAGAACGCCTTCGAAGCTCTTCATAGTAAGGTGAAACAAGTGAACGACTTCTCATCTGGAAAGAAACTGAAGTCTGAAGGTTTCGACAAAGAGTTAAAAGAAGTAGCACAAAATATGACGAAAATAACAGATGCAGCAACGAGACAGGCAGTTCAAAGTGCCTATGACGCCGTTAGAGCAACTGTTGTGAAAAGTCAAGAAAAAGAGTTACAACAGACCAAAACAGACCTAGTAAATGCTTTCTTAAAAACGAAAAGTCAGGTAGGACATTACGCTGCAGATGGAACATATGTGCCAGCTGGTGGAACTTATATACCACCAAACCCTCCAAGAGAAGCACCTGCACCAGGACTACCTAACACATTTACATCGTCACATGGACATAGACACAGGCATGCACCAAAACCAACACAACAACCAACAGTTCAAAACCCTGCACAACAACCAACACAACAACCAACACAACAACCAGCACAGCAACCAACAGTTCAAAACCCTGCACAACAACAACCACAAACAGAGCAAGGACATAAAAGAAGTAGAGAACAAGGAAACCAAGAATTCTTAAAAATGCTTAAAGAAGACTATGGTTACCCAGATACTATTGACTTTAGTGACAGATATAAAGAAGCTATTAGAAAGTTCAAGGATGGAAATACTGACCCGAACCTATTTAGCTTTATGGCTCTGCACCAAAGGGGATATAATCTCAAACCTGGAAAATACAAGCTCGCTAAGGGATATGATTTAATAGCATATCATCCAAATGACATGAACGAATTTACTCCGAGATATTTGATGTCAGAGCTAAATGACAATTTAACTCTCTTCATGAAACGCGTAAAAAATAGAGACGGAACGAAAGAAGAAAGGTTTATGAGTCCGGATGACTTAGAAAGGGAACTTGTTGAAAAACGGTCTCGGAATATATGAAATGCCAGCAGATGAGGTACAAGAAACTCCACAGGAAGAACTAGTTCAGATACAACCAGACATGGAAGAAATAGTTCAGCAACAACAGCTAGAAGAGCCTGAAGGAAACGAACAAGTCACTCCTTTGGAAACTAACTTCACAGAACTAGATGAAGATTTGGAACAGCCGAAAAATCTTGACCCTCAACAAGTGTATGCGGAGAATATGGAATATTTCCAAGAGTCTAAAAAAAATTCGGCTGACATAGTAGAAGAATATCGAAAAATGTTTGCCGACATACAAAAGACTCCAACACCAGATGAAAATATTCAGCATAGAATGGAAGTACTGAAAGAAAATGTACACAAATACAACAACCCTTTTTACTTACGAGCATTTAACGTTCAATCTTCGGATGAACTCGGTGAAAATAAAAGGTTAAATTTCAAGAAAACATATAGAAATGAAACATTGTTTAAAGTTCATTCAGAACCTAACCAAGATGGAAACAAACCTACTTTTGTTTCTGCAGACGATGGAACTACAATGAGATGGGGTCATAAAGCTAACCCGGATAGGTGGTTCATAAACTTACAACCACAATTCCAAGAAGTTGTAGACGCAATGGAAGTCAATGGTGAACGAGATATAGCTGGTATTTTAAGCGCGGCTTTAATGCCATTGAAAGATATGAAACATGCAGATATTTTGGACCAGTATGAAATGAACATGGCTGATGGAAATATAACACCTGACGTTCTAGAACATTTATCTCAAAGAACTACACAGAACCATAGAGATGGTATATTTGGTGAAGAGTTTAGAAAGAAAGTTAGGGAGAGAAGGAAGAGAACCTATTGTACATGACCTTGCAAACGAAAGTTTGCAAAATGTCATAAAAACTTACTTTGCAGACAATGAACTGAGAAGGGATGAATATTTAAGAAAACTCAAATGGACAGTACCAAATGAAATGTTAGTATTGAAAAACATGTTCCTTGACAAAATAAAACCAACTACAGAAATAAACGACGCAAGACTGAAAGATTGGGTAAAAGCTTTCCCATTCACAAAAGATATAGTTGGTAACATGGAAAGAAAACCAGAATGGCTACAAAAACATATATTTGGAAACGAGCATATTCCATATGGACAGGCACTGTTTGAAGAGCTTGAACCGGAAACTCAGGAAAGAGTCATGCAAACAATAAGCGAAGACTCAAATACAAACTATGACAAACTCTTTCTAGGATATAGGTTACCTGAGATGGGCGACCAGAGCCCAAAGGCAAAAAGGACATGGGAAATTTACAACATACTAGGTGAACATGAGGCAAAGATGCAACAACTTGAAGCAGAGGGCAAGTTACCAAAGCGACACCAAAGAAGAAGAGTAGAACAAAGTGAAAGTAGTGAAGAAGTAACTTCATCTAGTGAAAGTAGTGGCAATGAAGGAAAAAGAAGAGTTAAAAACTCAGTCAGGAAGAAAGTAAAGCTTGGTCCACGTGGGTTCTATTATGACATATAAATCCAACTATTCTATATTTTTACCCATATGAAATGTACGCCGCTCAGAATATAACGCCAACAGTTTTGGATGCCATGAATGGAAATGTTTCCGAATGGTATAACGAATGCGACAATGCCATTAGAAGGTCAGAAATAGTTCCTGGAACTTACGAATATACAACTGCTGTTTCTTATGGAAACGTAGGTGAGTTTGGAGAAGGTTCTTCAACAACAGTAGATATTGCTTGCGACAGGTTTCATATAATTTCTATTGACAACTCTTTCTTATACGTGGAACAAGACATTGAAATAAAACCTTCTGCCAAGTTGTCTGACAAGAAAGGTTGCAATGGAATTTTCTATGTCGGATACCAATATGCTCCAGAAGTTTTCATGGGATATAAGATATATTCTAACTCTGACTTAGTTCAAACAGTAACATGGGCAAACTATGAATGGTTCGCTTTGAGAAACTCAGTACAACCACAAGCTAGAGAACAAACAGACCAGTATGCAACTATTGAGAAAATAAGAAGACTTGACCCTAACGTTCCAGGAGTTTATGTTGACCTTTCTGGACAAACTGCAGCAGCAGTAACCAAAGTAAAACTGAAACTTAGAGTTCCTTTGTCATCTTTCCTCATCTTCAGGTTTTTAAGATACTTGCCAAACTGGGCAGGAAAAATTTCTATCGAACTTACTCCAAGCAAAAATAACTTAGTCATTGCACCAACACAAGACCCATTCACTCTTACTGTAGCTGGAACTGGTGGAGCCAAGTTCTGTGACTTTTGCAAAGACAAAGTTGACTTAGACTTTGGTTTCTCAAACCTCAACACTGAAGTAAACTACTACTTCAATGCTGCTGGAACTGCTTGGGACCCAGTTAAGTTCACATGCGAAAAGTTTGAATGCAAGAGAATAGAAAGCAGACTTGCAGTCTATATGTTGGACCCAGATATTTCAAATGCTTTAGCTGCCAAATATATTGCAGTTCCACTTATGTTCCCTATACACCAAATATCTGTCAAAGACTTTGCAGGTGAAGTTGGAAACCAAAGTGCTGACCCAGGTGCAAGAACAGATATTGCTTTAACAACTGCAATGAAACATGCAGATACTATGTTTGTACTGTTCAGACGAACTATAAATGACTATTCTTGTTTCTACAACCCTGGTATTAAATATCATATAAACATAGATGGCAAATATTATCCAAGAGAAGAATATTCTACAGTTGAGGATATGAGGTCATACAACTTGACATTAGATGCTATGAACTTTAACAACAACTTCACAACAACCATTAACCCTGAAATGCAAAGTTCTATTATGCCATATGTGAAAGTATGGACTCATACAGGAGGTCAAAACACTCAATATACAAATGGAGACCGTTCAAACTTTTGGCTTGGCATTCCATTTGCTGACTCAGAAGACTTTATGGGTGGTATTTCAACTGTTGGTACAGTTCAAATACAATATACTGGTGACAGAGACGGTCCAGATGAATTAAAAGCAAAGAAGTTTACAAAACCAATAGCACTTTTCACGGAAGATGCTCTTTTGAAATTCGTTCGATGAAACCTGCTGGGGCTCCTCAGATTGGTATAACGACAGCTTCCATCGAGCAGATTTTGGCAGCAGGTCAGTAAGTTGTTCTTGAACTGACTTCTCTCCGTCAAATATTGACAGTACGCCAGTTTTGATATAATATTGTATTATAAACTTACCTTTAGAAATATCGGTCAGTTTTGTTGTTATATTTTTGTCTGCTTCAAGAACTTTCACCATCTCGGTTATACCAACTTTCTTTGCTTTATGAAAATATTTTGGTTCAGCAAAGACTGCTATTCTATAACATTTTCCATTGTTTGTAAAAGAACTATTCTGTCAATGAACTTGTATTGTTTGTGTGTGTAAACTTTGTTTTGCTTCAATTCGAAGAGATACTCAAATACGTCCATCTTTTTATTCTAAGTAAAATGTCATTTCCGAAAAATAGAAGCGTAAGTGTTTCAAAAGGTTTAATGGCGATGGCAGATGTGAAGTTAAATTCACCAACTCAAACAAACAGTCAAAGTGTTGTTGTCAATGTCAAAGACAGAGATGTTGAAGTGGGGAAACCATACGAAGACGAAGATGGTATAACAATAGTTCCTGTAAAAGAACCAACATACCCTGAAGTTAGCAGAGACTTAAGTTCTGTTGCAGATATTCGAAATGACTACCAACAACTTAAAGACAAACTTAAAACTCAGGAGAAGATTTGTCAGCTTTGGTCTAATGTTAAACTTGGTCGAACACAACCCTGTAAAAGTGAACTCATATGTCATCGCACCTCATGAAGTTTTGAAAGAACTATTGAAACTTTTGACAGAGGCAGACGATATAAACATCAAAGAAATAGAACCCGACATTGCTTGCTGTGGTGTTTCATATAATGTCATTGACAAGATATACGTTATGAAAGGAGGTGAAACGTTGAACTTAAAATATAGTTTCCCAGACGTCATAAAAATATTTGACGACCACAACATTTCATTAAAATTTAGTTGCTAAGTAAAAATGTCAAAACTTCTTGAAAGATGTTTGAAGAAAAACAATATAGACTTTATTTCATGTAAAGGACTTTACACACTTTTGAACGATATGAAAGACCCTGTTTTGTTTGTTCGTGTAGACAAAGGAAAGTTCTATGTCTTTACAAAATATTTGAACTTCTTAGACAGAGAACTTCAAGAAACGCCATGTGAAAGTTTAGATGAAGTTCTTCTCCACTTTCAGAAAAACTTTTAAATATATGTAAATGGCAGAAGACATAGTGGTTTATACTATTACGACTAAAAACCCTGAGTCATATAATTCTATAACAACAAACTTACAAAGTCCTCAAGGACGATATTGTAAACTGACCTTAAACACGATGACGACTAAAGCCTGTTTTGCTCTTTTGACACCAGAAGACTTTGTTGTTGTGAATGGTAAAAAATACTCCTTTGAAGATACTTACTCAGATATACCACCAACAGGTTTTGTTGACTTATTTAATACTTTAAGGACGGATGTAACATGTGCTGCAACTAGAGCAGGTTTCATTATGTTTGGATGTCCGACTGAGTTTAGTATAAACGATATGAGCTATAATACAAAACTTATATCTGGTTTTTACTACCAACAGTTTCCTATAACAGGAAAAGGTGTCATACAAGGAATGTCTGTTCCATTGACTTTAAGTACACCTATTTTATATATTGTTTCAAACTTAGGTTCAAAGTGCTATTCGAATGTCGACAGAAACTACTATGACCAAAAGATACTCATGCGTATAAACAACACTTTCTCTGCTGGTTTGCCTATTGTTCATTCGAATGCAGAGTTTTCAGCTTTAGTAAACTCAAACACTTTAGCAAACATAAACTTAACCTTAGTTGACGCAAACTTTGTTCCTGTAAAACTTTTATGTCCTATGTATTTGTCAATGACGGCAGAAAGTTTCGAATTGGAAGATGCAACTGGTGAAAGTATTGTACTACAAGAACAACTTCAACAACAAATAGCTCAAGAACAACAAATGCAACAAATGGAACAAATGCAACAAAGCTCAAGAACAACAAATAAAATAAATATTTTTTTTTATTTTTATAAAAATGTACAGAATAGACGTTTCAGATTTTTATGACTTCCAAGCCTTCAGAAATATGTGTCCATTTAGAGACTATAACAAAGCAGTCGAGAATTTGAAACGTTTAGTCATTTATGTCGACTCTGCCCCAGAATGTTATGTCATGAAAGAATGGGATGTAGTCTTTAACAAACCAAGAGCGACAATAGTTTCAGAACAAGAATGTAAACAGAAACTTAAGAAAATAAAAGTCGTACAAGTTGGTATGAAGATGTTAGATGCTTGGGATATCTTATTGTCAAAGTTAGAAGATTTTTCAGTTCGTGGTATAAAGTTCTATACACCTCTCCAAACTTCTATTCTATCTTCACTGGATATAAATACGAACAAGTAGAATGGAAAGAAAATGTTATAGAAGCTTGGTTAGACCATGTCAAAGAAATTATATGCAATGGAAACGAAAGAGTCTATGAGTATATCTTATGTTGGTTTGCAAACATCTTACAACATCCAAGTGCTAAAAATGAAACTGCTCTCATTGTAATTGGAAAACAAGGAACAGGTAAGAACACTTTCTTTACAGATATCTTATGCAAACTGTTAGAGGGCTATTCGAACCCGAATATGACAAACTTAGAAAACATCTGCGGTAAATTTAACTCTTCAATAGAGAATATGAAACTTATAGTATGTAACGAACTTCAAAGTATAGATACAACAAAAGTTTTGAACTCAGATGCTTTGAAGAGTCTTATAACAGACAAAGTTGGAGTTGTTGAAAGAAAATATAAAGACCAAAGAGTTTGTGAAAATGTTGCAAATTTCATCATGGTTTCAAACAACGCCGTTCCGATGAAGTTAGAAAGTTCTGACAGAAGATATGTAGTTGTCAGAACGTCAGAAGCTCATATGCAAGATACAGAATATTTTGACGACTTAGCAGAAACTTTGACACCTAACTTTTACAACCACTTGTTCTCATATTTCATGACATTAGATATTTCAAAGTTCAATCCAAGACAAATTCCACATACCGAAGAGAGACAAACATTGTTAGAAGCAAACAAGAGTGTATATGAACTGTTCATAGATGAAACTGACTTTGAGTGTTTAGATGAAAGGTCATTGTACGATTCGTATAAACAGTATTGTCAAGAGTATGGTTATATGACAGCGTCTAAACGAACATTCTTGGCAAATGTCAAAAGTCTTTTAGACGTACAGAATGGTGTATATACAAAGAAAAATTTTTCTGAGTAAATTTTAAAAAAAAATATTTTTTTTATCCGATAGAAAAGATGACGAAATTCATCTCAGTCAACAAGTACATGTCAGGACTTAAAGAAGAACTAGACCCATTCACATATTTGAATGTTTACTTCTACCATTTTGAAAAGTCTACATTTGACAAAGTTTGGAACATCGAACCAGTTAAGTTTGCTATTGTGACTAAAAATGGTGCGAAATTTGAAGACTTAGACATAGAAGGTTTGTTAACAGTCAAAGAAAGTTTTGACAGAAGGTTTCAAACCTTAAAGAAGGCAAAGCATACAAACTTGTTATACCTTATGAACCAAAGAAAGCAGACGACTATGAATATTATGAGTCTAAGAGTTGTAGAAGTTCAAGGTAAATTGGGTAAAAAGATTTTAGAGTCTAAGCCAGTGTTTGCTCCTAAAGAGGAAGAGAACATTGACATTGACCCAGAAATGTTCTAAAAATAAAATTTTATTTTTACATGTCATATCTCCCCTTCTCTGGCTCTGGTTCTTTCTTCTCTTCTTCTACTTTCTTTTCTTTCTTTCTCTCTTCTTCTTCTCTGGTGGAGTTATGTCAAACTTCTCAGAACCATATTTTTGTAAAAGTGCTTTGTCCTTTAATAGCTCTTCTATTCTGTTTTCTATTTCATTTTCAAGAACAGCGCATGTGTCTTCTTTGCATTCTAAGAAGTTTTGTTGGACTTCATCTCTCCAAGAGGCGTCATCTCTGTCAACAAGTCTGTCATTGACAAATTTTAAGACTTCTCTGCTTAAGGTTTTATGGTTCTTGTCATATTCCCAGAAACAGAACTTTAGAACAAATTCACCTTTCTTGTTTACACTATGTAAGATTTTATGGTCGACAGATGTTTTGCTGTCGAAAAGCTTGTCTCGAATATAGATAGCGAAATCGCTAGACATTTCCTAAAAGATAAAAATTTTAATTTTTCTAAAAATATGTTAGAAAAAAAGTTTGCTGACATTGACAAAAAATTTGAGAATGTTTTAAATAAGAACAAGAGGAAGTTGGAAAATGCTCAGATAAAACCCATACATGACAAGTTCTTATTTGCTCAGAATGGTATAACAGGTCTAATCGCACCACCTGGGTCGGGTAAGACTTTCACTTATCTTAAAATGGCTGCACAACAACAAGAACTAGATGAGAAGAACCCATTCTATGAGTTAGTAGTCATTTGTAGTACTTCTGGTCAATTTGACCAAACCGTCAATTCGTTCAAAGATATTATAAAAAGTCTAAGTTAGTATGTATAAAAGACTCTGAGTTGTTAGATTGGATAAAGAAGTACCAAAGAAGAGTTTTGAAGTACAATGCTATAAATGAGTATGTCAATTCTAAGTTTAAAGACCCAAATGAGGAAATGCAGAGAATATTAGAGAAGAAACACTTCAGAAACAAACAGAAAGAGATAGAATACATTTCGAAGAAATTGCAATCTTACGATTGGAAGACTTACCCTCACAGATGTCTTCTTATCTTAGATGACTTTGCTTCTCATCCTTTGTTAAAGAACAGAGAACAAGACATGTGTCGAATTCTTAAGAAGCTCAGACACTTTAACATCTCAGTTGTCATTTGTGTACAGACAGCAAAGAGTTTAAGTAAGGATGTAAAGAGAATACTTACTGATATCATACTTTTCCCCGGATTGTCCGAAGACGATTTCATGGAACTTATGAAAGAGTCCATGGCAGGTAAGTTTGACAGACATGAACTATGGGAGAAGTACAAAGTCATACAAGACCCTCATACTTCTTTCAGAATTCATATCTACGCAAACAAAGTTCAAATTGTAAAAAGTCAAGCGTAAAAATGTAAGTGTTTGAGTCTTAGTCTGTTGTGGTGCTGGGGCTGTCGGTTCTTCTGGCTTTGGAAGACATTCAGGAAGAGGAACGTCAGCCATCCGTTTGTGTCCTGTCGGAAGGAAGGACTTTTCCTGTCGGAAAGAAAAACTTTTCCTGTCGGAAGGAAAAACTTTTTCTGAAGGTCGGCCAAAAAGTTCTCAATTTTCGAAAATTTGAATGGTTTACGGACGGACAACAGAAAAAATTTTTCCTGTCGGAAAGAAAAACTTTTCCTGTCGGAAAGAAAAACTTTTCCTGTCGGAAGGAAGGACTCGGAATGCCAGAAGGAAGGACTCGGAATGCCAGAAGGACTCGGAATGCCAGAAGGAAGGACTCGGAATGCCAGAAGGATTTGACAAGACAATTTACCATCTAGAGCTACCTGAGCCATCTTTGGTGTCAAGCTTGAAAAATAAATGGTTCATTTACTCTGCTTGTTTGAAGTTGTCAAAATACTCTGTTATCTTTTCTTTCAGTAGCGGCAAATCTTCTTTGAATGTAAGTATTGTACAACCTTTCATATCATAGTGTGTTTGAGGTAACGTATCTTGAACTATCTGTTTAACATCTTCATTCGGTGTCATTGAAATCGGTAAGTTTTCGCGATAGAACCAATTTCTGTCAGATTTGTAAATCTTAGCAAGGTCGTAAAAGCTTTTGTTGTTTCTTCTGACTAAATGCAACATAACCATATCTCTGTCTTCTTAATTTTCCATCTCTTCAGTGTAAATCATATACTTATAGTTCTTTTCCTTTCCTTTTGGTACCGAACGTGGTATTCTTTTCTGTATGTTTTTGTCTTTTGCTTCAATGACTTCATCTTTTGCTTGAAGCTTGTTCTCTAGCTCTTCACGTTCTTGTCTATGAATTTCGTCAAGAAGTCTGCAAATATACCAAGCATAACGAGGCGAAGCCCACATTGCAACAGCATTTACAAGAAGTCTATGTACATACCAACCTCTCAAACCATTTGGCAAATTTTTACGATTTTCATAGAGTTTTGGCGACCCCGAGAAAAGTCGGTCTAGAGAAATTTCACTCAAAAGTTCTTGTGTGCTTTGGTTTTTGAACCAGTCGTCTGCGTGTTTAGTATCTGGAGCAAAACATGCTGTCAAAATACTTTGCATTTGGTACATGTCATCTTTGACCGAACGAATGAGACGTAACTGTTTGTTATACTGAACCCACTCGTATTCTTCACTTATGGCTTCATGAACGATAGCAGTTGTTGTGTTCTCTGTTGTTGACATTTCTGTTCTTACATACAAAATAAAAAAAAATATTTTATAAAAACTAGCGTTATTTTCTATCTTGTATAAAAGACCAAAAATAAACGCTTTACATGTATTTTTCAGCAACTTCGTCAAATAATTTTATAGCTTTGTCGATCTCATCTACTTCAAACGTTTCTTTACCTTTCGTGGGAGCACCATACATTTTCTCAAACTTTTCAAGCAGTTCTGTTTCAGCAGCTCTCATATCATTTACAAACACAACCTTAACTCTATTGACTGTACTGTCATATCTTTTAGTTATATTATATGTTCTTCCTATCTTATATCTCTTTGTATTGAAGTCCTTCGGTTTCTGAACGATGTAAAGTAAGCCTTCACTGCAACGTTCCGTATCGAATGAACCATATGTTATGAAATTATATCCAACAACTGGGTCTAACCATAACAAAACTACTGGTATAAGACTTTTGTCTATAAGATATGCTGTAGTTCCACAGAATCTTACCGATATCAAAAGCTCAGGATTTCTTGTCAAAATTTTCTGAGTTGAAGCATTTCTAACCCAGTCCTTTGCTCTCTTTCCAGATAGTGTTAAAATGTCTGACAAAGAATATTTTTTGTATTTCTTTGAGTATCTTACGTTTAAATCACCTATTCTAACCACCTTGGTCTCATTGTCTATCTTTTTAACTGTTTCAAACTCAGTGCTTGTCATTTCCTGTCTTTACATACAAAATAAAAAATATTTTTTTTAAAAAACTAACGTTGTTTTTATTTTTTCTATCTTGTATAAAAGATATGATTTCATAGAGTTTTTTTCACGATTTTCATGAGTTTTAGGCAAGACCGAAAAAAGTCGGGGTAGCATTTTTTCACGATTTTCATAGAGTTTTTTTTACGATTTTCATGAGTTTTAGGCGACTACGGTTTTTAACGTACTCGCAATTTTTCACGATTTTCATGTGTTTTAGGCGACCCCGAAAAAAACCGGGGTCGCAAATTTTTACGATTTTCGTACGGAATCTCTATCCTCGGTTTTTCGAGGGTAGCATTTTTCCACGATTTTCATAGAGTTTTTTCACGATTTTCGTACGGAATCTCGTTCCTCGGTTTTCCGCGGGTCGCAAACATATGAGGAAATTCATGAAATTTGGTCATTTTTTTCAGCAAAAATATATTTTAGATCTAACCAGGTCCCTCGGTCCCTCGGTCCCTCGGTCAACTAACATCTTTTTGAAAATGGTGACAACATGACATTTTGACAACAACACAGGAAATATACTTCTTCGTCAATGTTTTGTTGAGACTTCTTCGTCAATGAGCGTAAATCAGACAAAAATATATTTTAGGTGAAGAGGTGAGATCTCACCTCTTTTCTCACCTCTTTTCTCACCCCATATGTCCTTACTGAAAAAGTACGTGTTCCATATGTCATTTTACTCAGCAAAAATATATTTTAGGTGAAGAGGTGAGATCTCACCTCTTTTCTCACCTGTTTTCTCACCTCTTTTTCACAAGCGTCTTACATGAATTGTACGATGTATATTTGAAATCCTAAACAGTTTTGTAGCTTCTATTTCTTCTGTCAGTACATCGAATGTTTTAACAATGCCGAAGGTTTCTTTATATTTCTTCTTGACATCTGAAAGAAGGAAATCGTCAGCTGTTGGATAGTTTTTGTTCAGAAATGTCAACATGTCCATTTTATCTTCTGCTGGTTTCTCTGCTTCTTCCTTTAAATCAGCATAGTCGTTTCGCATTCTTTCTATCTCTTTGACGGAGTAGTTATATTTCCTCATTGCTGCTTTACATTTTGAACATTGTGGGTTCATTTTAGCATTGTACATTGAAATAAAACCTGCAAGTACAACTAAGGCGTCAATGGTTTTCTTTAACTCAAAAGTTGCGGGTTTTATCTGTTCGTTCCATACTTTACCTCTTTTATCTTTATCTCTTATCTGCCATACACATTTTGCAACTAACGAAACAAAGTTGTCGTAGGTCTTAAATTCTTCAGATTTGTATATGTCAGAAACATTTTTATATACCATATCGCAGTCTTTGTCCATGACTTTGTGGTTGCAATGAAATCCAAGAAACTCATAGTTTACCTTACGTATGAACTTCTTTATTTCTACTGAGTCAGTTGCTTTGACTTCTATTTCATCGAATTCTGGAATAGTAAGCTTTTGTTGTTGTATTTCAGGAAGTTTAGGTAAATGGTCAATAATATCCTGCATGTCATAAAGATATTCTTCATTTTCTTCATCTTTTGCACTACAGTCTAAATCTCCTTGGAGAAGTTCTTGCTTTATCTTCTGGATTTCTGTTTCGAAAGTATATGAAGAAGGAATGAAGCTTTTCATCTCTACTAACATAGATGTTGGGTTCATGACTAACGAGTTTGGTGCTGTTGTTGCTAACATGTTCTTACAATAAAAATAAAAAATATTTTTTTTAAAAAACTAACTTTTTTTATTTCGGGAAAATTCATGAAAATTCAACGGGTGAGAAAAGAGGTGAAAAAAGAGGTGAGATCTCACCACTTCACCTAAAATATATTTTTGCCGAAAAAAATGAGCTTTGGTTGAAAAAACAGGTGGAGCCAAAAGTGGCTCGACCTCAAAACAAGCATTTCGTGAAGAATATACCAACCCGCGGAATTCCGCGGGTTGCTTTTTATACAAAACATATACGATGAAAGTGTTGACAAACAAGCATTTCGTGAAGAATATACCACCCGCCGGAATTCCGGCGGTTGCTTTTTATACAAAACATTGACGATGAAAGTCTTGACAAAACAAGCATTTTGTGAAGAATATACCAACCCGCGGAATTCCGGCGGTTGCTTTTTATACAAAACATTGACGATGAAAGTCTTGACAAAACAAGCATTTTGTGAAGAATATACCAACCCGCGGAATTCCGGCGGGTGCTTTTTATACAAAACATATACGAAGAAGTCTCAACAAAACATTGACGAAGAAATCTATCTCCTGTGTTGTTGTCAAAATGTCATGTTGTCACACTTTTTCAGAGAAGTTAAAATGACCGAGGGACCGAGGGACCGAGGGACCTGGTTCCACCTAAAATATATTTTTGCCGAATTCAATAAAAAGAAATGGTTCATTTACTCACAATATTTTTGTACAAAACGACCCCAAACTTTTAACCTCTCTTCTGCAGCTTCTAATGAAACTTTAGCGAGTTCATATTCTCTAAATTCTCTCTTTAAATCTTCTTGTTCCCATTGGTCTAGTTCGTATGGAGAATCTCTATAACCAGAACATATCTCACGTTCATGTTCTATTTGTTTTTCGCGCATTTTTCTAACTTCTTGTTCGAACAAAGGTTTAGCATTCTCTGCTGTATCTTCAAGTTCTTCTTCATCTAATTTCTCATGAACTTTCTTGTCTATGGAGTCCAGAATTTTTCCAACTGCTATACAATATTTTGGAGAAGCCCACATTGCTATATAGTTTACGAGTCTTGGGTCTACATACGTTCCTCTAACCTGTTTGATTTCATCGGGAATTCCTGCATGAACTGTGTATAAAAAGCAACCCGCGGAATTCCGCGGGTTGGTATATTCTTCACAAAATGCCTTAAAATACTCTTCCCAGGACTTATTTTCCAACAACCTTCTAAAGTCTTTCCTAAACTGCTGACACATATTTGTTGCATTTATATAACCATCCTTGTCTCTACGTAAGACTTCAATACCGTTGTAAGTGCCTTTTGTGAATGTTTCGCCATTAGATTTGTTCGTGAACGTTTTTGCTTCGACTGTCATTTCAGTTCTTACAATAAAAATAAAAAATATTTTTTTAAAAAAACCAACCCGCTGTTTTCCGGCGGTTGCTTTTTATACAAAATTCAAGAGGGTGAGAAAAGAGGTGAGAAAACAGGTGAGATCTCACCACTTCACCTAAAATATATTTTTCAATACTTTTTCAGCACTTTTCCGTAGTTGTATATGAAAGACAATTCGAGATAAAAGTCATAGTACAATGGTATTATATGCTGCACGCCATTTGTTGTGAACCAAACTTGAAAGTCAGAGAAACTGTTACTAGGTGGTTCGTAGAATTTAGAAGCAAAGTCATAAAAGTCCTTACCAATACAAAGAAAACTGTTGTTGCTTGAACTGAAACTTGCATGACACATGACATTTTGAGGGTCAAACACGTTTCTATAAACTGTCAAATCTGCTGGTGGAAGTATAAATTTAAATGGACCATCTGGTGGTAATGGTTCGTTCTGGTTTAGTAACCGAAGAAATTGTGCCCAAGAACGTCTGTCTACTCCCCAATATAAAAACTCTGTATCTCTTGGAGGGTTAATTTCAATCTTTTGAAATGAAACGGTGGAGTTCATCTTGTCGTATTCTAGTTTTAGATAGTATGTTCCATTTAGTAAAGAGTGGTATTTTTCTTGAAATTCCCAGTAGTATTTGTTTATTTGAGTTTGAAAGTCATTTAGAGTTTTTTCAAGACTTTCGTCTGAACGAATTGTAAAGATTTTCATTTCGTCAAATTTTTCTATTAGACCGTCAGAACCTTTATACTGACCGTGAAAATATACTGCGAACATGAATGCATTAGTTCTATTTGAAAACAAAACTCTTCTAAATCCTATTGCCTTTGCATCTGAAGGACTTTGAAGCCAACGAATTGGATAGTCAAACCTGTAAGATCGGGATGAAATTTCTTCATCTGATATAGTCCTACCAGCGTTTGTAAAGATATAGTCTAACGGTTTTGTATCTGCTACTTTTGTTCTTTGTTTTTCAACCTGAAGCATTTTATATATGTAAAAATATACTGTTTTAAAAACGTTTTTACTTCATACAATGTTTTATTTCATGCAATGTTTTACTTCTGTGCCGTCTTCAAGTATTCCCCAGTATTTCCTTTTCGATATTACATGAACTTCGGAAAATACCTTGTCTAGCTTAAAAAAGCCCATCTTTTCACCGACCATACCCATTTCAATGAGTTTGTTGTATCCTTCTTCGTTCGTCATGAGTGCGTCGATGTTCTCATAGTATACCTTCACTTTGGATTTAACTTCCGAGAAGAATTTGTTGTAGTTGTCAAGGACTGCCTTTGCGAACTGAGGGTATGACCAATGCTCGACAATAGGTTTTACTGTGGTTACTAAGCCATTTTGACCTTCGGTGAACTCGTATTTCAAAACAAAAGGAGAAAACCTTTCAACAAAGTTGTCGACCTTCTCATAGTGTTTACTCTTCATCTTTTGAGGTTTCTTAATGGAATATCCCCATGTCGAATTCATAAGCAATTTGAGTGTCATTGCAAGTTTGGGGTTTGAAGCTTTCCTAATATCATACATTTGTTGTATGACTTTTCCAACTGTATAGTTCTTTCCCGGGAACTCACCATCTTCGTTTGGAATTCCAGTCGGGATATATTGGACAAACCTCATGTACGCAGCGTTAAGGTCGACATAGTATATCTTTTCATATGAGTCGAACTTGTCGCAACCAATGGGTCCAGTTCGTGGAAATTCAAGTGAGTCTCTTATCTTTTGAGAAACTCCTCCTGTTATCTCATAAACATCGTCAAAGCAACCTGTTTCATATAAAACCTTCTGACCTAACTCTGATGCTCTCCAATACAATTTGACGTCGATTGGATGTCTCAATGGAAGTTTGTTTATAGCATCTTGAAGTTCTTGCAACCTCATTGGAAGTTCTTCTGGTTCAGGTTGGTATCCGAACAATCCAACTCCTTTTGGAACTGTGTACTTCTTTTGTGCTATAACTTTGTCTGGAACAACTTTTGGTCTTGCTAACAATGAAAAGTTTGTTTCGTCTTTTGGTACAAAAGTTTCTGTCAGCTTGTCATCTGGAATTGGTTCCAACAAGCCTTTCTCGAAAAGAATGTTAACAGCTCTGACAATGTTGCACTTGCCTTTTCCGAACAATGGGTTTGTAAGACTTTCGTTCAACATGAAGTGGTTGTGGACAAGTACAATCTTCAACCATGGCAATTTGAAGTCAACAACATAGTCGTCATGTGAAAAACCTTTAGCTGTAGGTATGTTGACTCGGATATTCACATTTGCCAACGGTGCAACTTTTGCCAATTGACCTCTAAGAATGTACCTTGTTTTCACACATGACTCAAGATACTTCATCTTCTCATCTGTAACAAGACCAGAGTTCCTGAGACATGTAAGAATACAAGGTTCATTGACAATTGTTTCAATTGAATTGTAAATTCCATACCTTGTTAAGTCAATGTCAGACTTATTTCTGAACGGGAAGTATCCAGCATGTTGTCTGACTGCTTGAGGGTTAGGTTGATACCATTCGAACTTCACGCTTGCAATTCCTTCAATTGCATTCAAAATATCTGAGTCGGAGTCAAACATTTGTTCTCTCTTTGTAGTCTTGAAAGCGTCAAGAAGTTGTGCGGCTGTTGTGACATTGCCATGTGCATAGTAAATATGACCATCCAAATCTTTTACGGTTAGTCTGAGATTGTATCCTTTCTTATTTCCGTCTTGAATTGCAGCAAGTACTCCCATGAAGCCTTCTTTGTTCTTTCCTTCGTCAAAGTTTACTGTAAAGGTTCGGCCAGAAGTAATTTTACTTCTAACTTCACGATACTTCTCATATGCATATCTTGTTCTTTCCATGGGAGCATGTGTGTCTTCACCCTTCCCTTTTTTCCGTCTCAAGGGATGCAATTGTTCGTCATGTTTCCAGTAGAACCTGGCAAAGCCGTCGTGTCCTTCAACTTGAGGTTCATTAACATCGAAAGGCATGTTCATAAGACGCTCTTCTTCTAACCTCTCTAGTCTGTTTGGATAATTTGCACGTGCTGTTTCTAAGTCCATTTCGTAGCGAAGACCAGCCAGTTTGTCATAGACTTTTATGGGTCTTCCCTTCCTATATTTAAACTTCTTTGAAACTCTCCAACCATATCTTTCTAACTCTGCTTTTATTCTAGCAGATTTTCTGTCCATTCTATATGGGGGCATTTTTATAAAAATAAAAAAATGTTTTTTCTTTACTTTACATAACCACCGGCTGCCATAAGTCTTTGACGCCAACCCATACCAGCTAATGAAGGTTGACTTGGTTTAGTATTGAAACTAAACTTTGGTTTTGGTTTATCTTCAGTTTTTGGCTCACCTTCTTCTATTGGTTTTTCGTCACTTTTCGGTTCATCTGACTTTACCTCACTTGCTTGAACAGTTGTGTCGTCAACATCTTCATAAATGTCATATGCCATTTGTTTCTGTTTTCCTTTCAACTTTTTGTGTTTGTTGTAAAGTTTAGAATATTTCGACTCTAAGTCAATGAGATGTTCTATAATGAACTGTTGGTCAGTGAAGTAAACTTTTCCATCTGTTGTCTCGAAAGCTCCTTCAGACTTCAATATTTTATTTGTGAGAGTCTGTTTCTTTTTTGAGATACTAGCCGTTCCATTTTTATGAAAAGTGACTTTGTAGTTAGAGTTTGTATTTCCAGACCTCACACTTTCTATTATTGAATTTTTCTCTTCATCTGTAAGTTCTTTGACAGGTTTTGACAATGGTTCTGAACTTTTTGTTTGTGGTGTCAAATCTACCGTTTCAACTTCTTCGGTCATTTCATCTCAGTAAAAAATTTTAGTTTGGTTTGTTTTCAACTGGTTGTTGAGGTTTTTTAAGTCGGTCTAAAACTTCCTGAGGTATAGGAAGAACTTGACAAACACGTGGTGGTGTAACTGCTGGAAGCCGACAAATCCATCTTGAACCCATTTGTCTCAAAGCTGTATTGTTCATTTCATCTCAGTAAAAAATTTTACATTCCCCACGTTTGAGGCGGTTGAGGTTGGTTGTTGTTTACCCACTGTTGTGCATGGTTATATCCTCTGTTAAAGAATCTTTCACCTTGGTCCATATAGTGCCCTGCTTGGTTATAGTAGTCATTTGCTTTGTTATAGTAGTTTCCTGCTTGTCTTCCTACATTGTCCATCCATCCTTGAACTTTTCCTCTTGTTTCAGGATTTGGAATAAGATTTGTGCATCTCGTGCTACATCCCAACCTTTCTGTACAGTTTGTATAATAGGTTGTGCTTTCTCTTTAGTATACCTAATGTACTCAAAATCTTCCTTCCAATTCCAAATGCACCTCTGGCTATTGTTCCCACTGCGGGCAAAAATCTAGATGCGACTCCTGCTAATGCGCCAAATAAACCCATTTCTTATGGGTTAAAAATGACGAATTCAAACAAGGACCCCTATGTTTCTAAGGCAACAAAGAAAGCACTCATGGTAAAAATCTTTAGTTCAACACCAAATGCTTGGTTTAAATGGATATCTTGGAAACATTCCGAGATATAGAGAAGATGGACCACCATATTGGCTAATATTTGTCGGTCAAAACACAAGATACTGTGAAGCCATACCATTACAGTCCAAAAATATTTTAGATGTGAAAACTGCTTTGACAATATTCGTTGACAAATACCATCCAACAAAACTGACATCTGACTATGAAAGTTCTTTCAAATCAGACGATATTAAAAACTATCTGCGTTCAAAAAATGTAAACCAATATTTCATTGTCGACCAAAACCATTCTGCTCTTGGTGTCATTGACAGTTGTATAAAAATCTTAAGAGACTTAAACCAACCACAAGGTGGTGAAGCAAATGAAATGTCATATGACGACAAGTATAGACACTTCTCCATGGCAAAGATGAGACAAGTTTTAAATATTTACAATAACCGTAAACAAAAAGGTTTGGGAAACCACTCCCCCGAAGAAATGAAAAACAACCCTGACTTAGAGAAAGACTATATATTTAATAGTTTAGTCAAAAGAGACAAACAAGAAAGAATGCCAGGCTTCAAACTTCAGAAAGGTGACAAAGTAAAAATAGAAATACCTAAACGCGACCCATATGAAAATACTATTGACTATGACAACAATGGGAACTCGACAGGTACTCACGTTCGTGTTCGTAAAAATAGAAGAAAGTATACAAGAGAATATTATGAAGTTTTAGGCAAACATGGCAAAATGTACAGACTGCAAGCAGAAGATAAAACTACTATTGTCAGACCTCGTTTCAAACTTGTCAAAGTTCAAGGTGGTATACTTTCAAAGACAGTTCCTAACAAATATAAGACAACTCCTGACGAATATGCTAAAGAAGTTGAAAATGACGACTAAGCATTTCTATACCATGCGTAAACTGTCATGTAAGGTGGCATGTAGTCTTTACTTTGTCCCGTTGTTTGCGTATACCCTGAAACGCGATGTATATGGTTTCCTTCTCCCTGTGTGTTACCCCAGAAACAATTTATAGCAAACTTAACGTTGTCTTTAACATCATATCCTTTACCTTTTGTCATTGCTGACCAATCCCAATATCTATGACTATGCCAACCTGCGTTAGTTGTACTTAAATCTATGTAGTGACTGTGTGCAGGTAAATTTGCACCTGAAATCGTTTTACTTCCACCTGTTTCCTTTGAAGAGTTTGCACAATACAAAAACCTGT